AACAAAAACCCTAGTATTGGCTACAGTTGCTTACAAACTGGACGACTTTGGCAAAACGAACGATTAGCATTCACTTGTGCTTCGTCACAACTGGGTGACTAAGCGGTCTTTACCTTCTGCCGGCCCTGGTCGCGAAGACGAAGGATTGAAATTACCTTGCAATCGCAGCCGAGCCTGAACAGGAATGTACACGCATTCATCTTGGCCTTTGAATAATTCTCAACAAAGCCATCCAGTCACGGGCCCGCATACTGTCTGTACGACTGCCACGGTTGGAATCCGACACAAAGCCACCAAGGCCGATCGTAAAATTTTCTGGCCTCGCACGCGGAGCATGGATGGCAGGGTACTTGTACGCGTCGGTGCCGATCGAATCCTGACGCCCTGCGGTGCCTGGCATCTCTCACTTTGTAACCTCGGGACGCCACGGGGGTAGCAATGCCGTACCGCACGCTCAATTTGAGAGGAAACACAAATCGGCAAAATGTTCCTAAGTTCGAGGCCCTTCCAATAACAAGCTGGTGTTCGAGATGGATCAGGCGGTGCCAATCACAAAGGAAGATCAATAGACATGACTCTGGCTGTCGCGTTTGCCTACCTTGAAGCATGGCTCGTAAGGCGGTGTTGCAGCGACTAGCGTTGCAATTGAATGTTCACGACAGCGTGCAGTAAACGCATCCTGCCCCACTTGGCATGCTTGCAGAAGGCAGCGTATGATCATGGCTGCCACCACTATACTGCAATTCGCCGACCTTCTGAAGAGTGGAGATGGCTACGTATGAGGAGTATGCGGGTCTAGCGCAGCAGCGACCTGCAGGACCACCACCTGCACCGCGACATCACGAGCAACGCCATGGCACTGCAGTACGACTAGTGCTTACACCCACCGCCAATACTGGGCGCGATTAAACAAAGAAATAATGAAACTGAAGTTTGTACGACGATGGGTTCCCCTCTGCAGACAGACGCCCGGACGATATCTGTAACACAAGGGGCGCGATCCCGCATGCTGCTGTGTCCAGGGCCACTGGCTCTACCTTAGCTATGCTTATATCAGATTGTGGATGGCAGACGCAGAGCAGTGGCCTTTCTGTTCTGTACGTGCATCACTGACGCGCAGCATCAGACCGGTGAAGTCCAATTTGAAATTGGGCCTGCGGGTATTCGCCAACCACACCATGAGCTCACCTCATCTTGTTGGCAACCGTGCCCGGGTCAATGGGTGTTGAGATGGTGGTGTCGTGCTGGCACTTGGCTGTAGCTGTGTCACTCGATCGAGGGCCCCGACCCTAGGGCGTGGGGGATACAGCAGCGATGCAGCAATAGGGTGATCACAAGAAGGGCGAGGGGGCATGGACCGCGAGCATGCGGGGCCTTGAACATGAGGCTCAAGTCCGATAACAGGTCTATCGACCATTAAAAGGGGGGAAAAGTATTAAAGTGACGCGCGTGCGTGTTCCTTGCCCTCATCTTGTGCCTGTTGTCTTCTACGAGCTGACGAGTCGACATTCGCAAGCGAAAAAAGCACCACCGTACCTTGCTGCCCTGCTCATCATCACGCACCTTTTTCATCGCTGCACGCTACATTGCGTTGTCCTGAAGGACGCCCACAACACATACTTATATCGTCAACGCTACTACTGTCTCGCCTCGCCGCGGGACACTACGAGATTTCTACACACCTTGGAATCCGAAAATACAAACATCATGGCTCGCATCGGTTAGTCCCCGCTGTCTTCTACCTCATCCCTGCTTCCCCGCGTTTTGCGCCACTTGAGCGACGCTGCCCCTGTCGCTCTCCGCTGTCACCCTGTTTCCTTGTCTCCACCCTCCCCAACCATTCCCGCTGTTCACGTTCTTCTTCCTTCCGCTCGTATTTCCATCATGTCACTAACCCGACCAGCACCATTCCATCCAAACCCCTCCTTCAAGCGCCCTTCCCGCTCATCGCTTCGACATATTGGCATCCCTGATGGCACGGATGTCCTCGCAGTTTACCTCTGGTGGGCAAGACAGCGTCGTTTCCGCGCACATCTCGAGTTGCGGGGTCCGCGGCCAGAGGTCGCTTCGTCGGTGAGATCGGTGCTGGGAGCGGACGATGAACGCGAACCCTTGTCACCTGTACTACCCATCGCGCGATCGAATTTTCAGTTGAGGGAAGCCTCCTTCGACCTGAGAGGCGTTGGCAGCCAATTCGAGTAGGCGTTGATGGCAAAAAGGGTAATCACAGCCATCAAGGCGAAAGGGCAGGGCGCTCCGAGTGCATGTTTTGGGTTGGTTTGGGCTGGGGAAGACTCTTATACCCCTTTGAATTTTGTGTTGCGGATGGACGGAAAAGCTATGTTTCAGTTTCGACTATCGCAATACAAACGGTTTTCTATTCCTTCAATGTTTTCGCGATTCGCCTCTATGGCCCATCTTCCTCTGGCTTTTCCATCCCAAGTTCAAATGAACCATATTTCTTATCGTCCAACTTTCAACCACATTGCGCTCATGCTTTCTTTATTTGTGGTTCCCTGAGTCGTCAATGCGGTAATATTGATGAAGAAGGTGTGGTATATAGAAGAGGGTTAGCGCACATTTTAGTCAGCCAAGGCTTTCGTATACATATCTCACCCGCGGACAGCTCCTCCTGACTTCGTTCAGCCTTACTCTCCCTCCATCTCAGTTCAACGAGAACTGCGTCTACATAGTGAACCCACGATCGCTTCACAATTTATACTGCAGCGCATATCTCATGCGGGAACTCATCAACTGGGGCGCAAACACCACCCCCAACATCCCTGTCCCAATATCGTCTGACAGCCCAACCCCACAAACCCTACACAGCCGTATCAAAAGCTTCGGTGCTGGCCGCCGCGCCTCATAGAGGATGTACAAGTACGGAGTCAAATGTCAATGGAGAGATTTCAAAAAAGCAGCCCGGAATTGGTTCAAGAGACACCCGCTTATAAAGAAGATGAGTGTGCTAATCATAATACCGCCCTGCTTCATTCTGTACTATACTTCCGTGGCGATATTTTGGGTATATGAAAGTTTGGAACAGGGGTGGAGGGAACCGAAGAGGTGGCTTTTGAAAGAGGAAGAGATTAGGAGGAGGAAGGAACAGAGGGAAAAGAGAGATAGTATTAAGATTTTGCCGACGAGGAGGCCGAGGGCATTGTCCTTGGCTGCGGGGGGTACGAGGGTTGAGTGTGGCGTTGAGATTCCCGTCGAGATGTCTGTGCGAAGCGTTGCGGAGGAGTCGAAGGGGAAGAGACGAGAAGAAAATGTTGTTGTGAAGAAGGTCGAAGAGCAGCGCATTGTCGATCAGCTCGGAACTTGTCAGCTTTGGAAGCTACCTTTTGAAGTTCGCCAGCAAGTATGGAAGTATGCTGTCGGCGGCAACCACATTCATATCATGAGACGAAAAGGTAGACTAGGCAACGTGTACTGCTCTGCGGATGACCCTACAGATCCTATTCGTCGAGACTTGTGTCTATCTACGAGAGATGAGAATGGTTGCTACATCCCGACTGCCTGGCCGAGAGACACTTACCCGCTGGCGTTGCTCTCGATCTGTCGACAAATGTACGCTCATCTCTTATCCGGAGGAAACGGTAATAGACTAACAGGATCGCAGATACACTGAGACGGTCGGCCTTCTCTACACACACAACACCTTCGCCTTCGACGAACCAGACACGGTCCAACTCTTCTACCAGACCGTTCTACCTAGCCGCAGCCGCCTAATTAAATCCATACACTTCACGCCCAACGCCAGGAACGACATCTATAGCCGTTCGCACTGGAACCGGATGATATCATGGGGCTACGAGCCTCGAACCAACGAGTTGCACAAGTGGTGGCATTGTCTCCATTGGCTAACCACTGTGCGGGAAGCCAGTCTATCTCGCCTCACCGTTACGCCCACGTTCGGCAGACTTTTCGCACAACCGACAGGCGGTGCTCATATGTGCGTTTGGATGCAGAACCTGGTCAGTTCCTTGAACCATTTGGAGGTTAGTGGGAAGAAGGTTGATGTCACGCTTACGTGGCCGAAAGATGCCTGGGAGGACTTACCGCCGCATGTTGCCCCGCCGCCGAACTGGTGGGCGATGAATAAGAACATACCATCGCCGCTCCGCATGACGTTGAGAGAGTACGGATACCCGGTGAAGACCGACTTCATGGCGTTTTTTACGCCGTTTCATCTGCAGTGTTTGCACTGCCGCGACTATACCATCATCAGGAAAGCAACGAAGGGTTTTGCGGAAGTTTCGACCATCGAAGCCAAGAATACGGACTTGGTACTTGCCGGGGACCCCAACATAGCTACGGTGCATGCCCCGCGTCTAGGCGATCCGCGGAATTCTGTGCGGACGCGTTACATTACGTTTCATTCTTTCTGTGGAGGCTGGGTCGAATTTGAATACCATTCGCCAAGCAAGAAGTGGACTGCTACGTTTGGAGCAAGGGAGATTGCGGACGAGGAAGCTGAGAGACATTTGAAGGAGTGGCCGGAGAGGTACCCAGTCTTGGAGTCGCCACATGAAATGTTGCAGGGCTTGGATGATCTGGATGAGGGTTTTATTCGAACGAGGTTGCAGAGCTGGTATACGATTGACAGTCAGACTAAGGAGAGGTTTTATCGTAATGTCGGGTGGTATAGAGAGTGAGTGAGGGTCGAGTAGACACAAACAATTGCGATTGATGTTCTTCTCCGCGACAGGCCTTATCGATTTCACTCCTCGTTCGTGAAGATGGCAAATTTTATAACGAACGCTTCAGCGTTCTTTTGAGAATAGGTATGCATATCCATCTAATAAGGACGGTGTTCATCAACTTCAAAGATTAAACAAATATAAAAACTTGCTTAGAAAATGGAAGGCACTGTTTCGTTATGAGCAAGATAAAAATAAAGGTCAAGCAAACCATCTATCAGCCAACCCATCCATGCTTGATAGATAGAAAGCACGCGCTTGGTGGATAATATTTAGACCAAAAAAAAATTGGCTTACTTCCGGTACCGGGAGTCGAACCCGGCTCTCGTCGGACACTTTTCATTGCTCGAAAGCCCATGAAAGCGACGGATGCTAGCCGATACACCATACCGGACGTCATTGCTTGAACTGATGAAAATTTTTGTCGTCTTTTTAATATATATAGATAGTCTGCAAAGGCCTCACTCACGCTTCAATTTCGAAGGCTGAGTGAAACTAGCGTGCGACTGACTAAGGAAGCGGGGTGATTGATTGGACTCAACATTCTAGGCTACCGAGGCGCCCCGCCCGTCTGCTCCGGGGTAGCTGCAACGTGACACCGCGTCAGGACGCGTTATCCCTTCACTACGAGCTACTTCTATCCATCCGTGCCACGCCATGGCATTCGCCTTTGATACTGTGGGCAATCGACCGCGCCGTCCACAACCACGACCGACCAAAGATGCCAGCTGGGAGCTAGCCAATCACGCCAAATCGTACCTCGAAGCCGGCGAATACGCAAAAGGATACGGCCTGCTCTATTCACTCCTCCACGCCGGCACTTCCATCTCGGTCCCCGCGAAACCGTACGTTGGCCTGCTCGCCCCTGCCGCCCACATCGCGTTCGCGTCCTCGCTCGTCGCATACCCCACCATCACCACGAAGTCCACCTCCCCCAATGCGATCAAAGGCGCTGATGCTGCCTTGCAATATCTACGATGCGTGCACAACACGATAGAGGGTCCGGCCTACAAAATTATTCGTAAAGCCTTCACCTTCCCCGAGGAACGCACACGGCGGCGTGCACCCAACCGGCACGACGGCGAGAACGGTTCGCCCAGCGCTGGTGGAGACATTGAGCGCCTGGACGCGAAACAGGCCAACGCGCTGAGCATATGGTATTGTGCGGATGACTTCTGGCATATTGTGGGATGGGCTTTCAACTGCTCAGTCGTATACAAGAAGCGCTGGGCACGATGGAAGCTGTGGCTCGACGTCATGCTCAACTTGCTCGAGGCCGACTGGGACACGTGCAGCAAAGAGGCAAAGGAAGACGAGGCCCTCGGGGAAGATGTACTACAGGAGAGCCTCATCTGGACGTACATTAGCAGCGGGAGCCCCACAAGTCGCAGCACACGCCGACGCATCTTTGCTGCAATTCTCGCCATGGCAGATAGGCCTGCACGCCAGTCCTTCCCCGAGATATGGAAGAACGAGACGGCACCGCCGAAGCCGCCCAACGACGACATCAAACCCACCGCCACGCTCGACTTTGAGAACCACCAGCTCGGTGACTACGACATTGATAACGAAGACACAGCCATGCTTGATGCCCCTCGAAGAGATAGCCGGCGGAAGCCATCTGTTGCATCTGAGGATTCCGACGACAGCGAGAACGCCAACAGTAGAAATGCTGTAGAAAGGCTCGGTGGGAGAGACGCAATACAGCTCCGCCAGCGCTTGATCGCCCTGCTCGCAAAAGTAGCGCTGGCGCTTCCTACCCAGTTCACGACGCTGGAAGATCTCTGTGATAATTTCACCGAACAACTCGGGGTGAAAGACACTCCCATCAGCATTTTCAGCCTCATCATTTCGACTTCACGATTGCCAAAGGATGCACGACTTGCACTTCATGTAAACCTACTCTTGCCTTTTGTGTCTTCTAGGATCGAAAACTACTTCAAGAAAGCACCTACACAAGCAGAATTCACGACGCAGCTGCTTCCTCTTCGCGCGTCGTCGCAGAGATTTGCACATAACGCCAAAATCTCGCTCATTCTGGAACAAATTTTCTTGTACATGATCAGCGAAAAGCTACTTCTGGTGAATGATGCATTGAGAATGGCGGTCGAGGCTGGAATCGAGGCTCGGCAGAAGGTCTATGGCACTGGCAAAAGCAAGAAGGGAAACGCAGAGGAAGAGGAGCAAGGCAAAGAGATCATGGAGGCTACTTCGATGCGACTTCTGGGTTTGCTAGAGTTGCTGGAGATGGCAGCTGGAGTTGAACCCCAACCACGGAAGGCGATGAGTAAGTCCAAGCCTTTCCTGTTGTCATCATTTGGCTCCTCGCTTTCATCCGCACCCGAAAGTGAGACCGATGATGGTGACTAATGGATGGCAATGACGAGGACGAGGAAGGCCGCCGAAGAAACGATCAATGGGTTTTAGCAGCATAGACAACTTCCGAAAATAGGTGCCGATGCTCTCGCCACAGCTTCACTACTGCTATCAGAGGAAGGCGATAAGCCGAGCTGCGCCGGCGCAGCACCGCAGAGGAAGCGATAGAAGCAGCGGGATATTCAATCGAGTGGAAAACTCGACCAATGGTTCTTTGTTTCGAGCAGCCAATGCAACGTGCGGCTGAGTGAAGCGGCTTCCCCCACCATTCCAAGTGCGGAATAGTTTGCAATGCACACTTTTTTATCCCACTCAAATTGCGCCACGACAAAGTCAAAAGAATGACACTAGGTATCTATCCATAGCCAGAAACATATTTCTGACGCAGAATGCTCCGAGCCCGACTCGAAAATACTAGATCTAGTATCCTCATCTTCTTGCTACTTCCCGACTGCTGCATTTGTTCGTTACAATCTAATTGCTCCTACTTTGGTTGGGTAATGAGTCACAAATACATCGCAAGAGAAAACTTTGTCTCCGTTCCTACGACTGCACCAAACCTCCGATTGTTGATCCCGAAGCCGGAGATAGTGATCCTGTATTGAAATCGTCGTCCAATCCCTGGCAGGGCTTTTCAAACTATCATCTCTTACGCAAGAAATCTCAGATACCTAATCACGATGCCTCCCAAGATTTCGCTCGTGCGCCACGCCCAAGGCTACCACAACCTTCACGTAAACTATCAACCCGCCCCTTTCACACAAGTACACTCATGACTAAGCATTCCAACAGCGCGACTACACGCTCTTGGACCCCCTCCTAACGCCACTAGGAAAACAACAATGCGCCGAACTATCGTCAAAATTCCCACACCACGCCACGGTTGACCTTGTCATTGCCTCACCTCTTCGACGGACCGTCCAAACCGCAGCGTACAGCTTTGGACCCACGCTTGCGCGATCGGAGGTGCCATTCATCTTACACCCAGCGCTGCAAGAGGTGGCCGATTCAGGGAGTGATACCGGGACTGATGCAAGCATCCTAGCCAAAACCTACGAAGACATGTTCAAGGGGGACGACCTAGGGTTTCACTGGGGAAAAATCGACCAAAGTCTGGTAACAGACGGATGGAATAGCAAGAAAGGATACTGGGCCTATACGAGAGAAGCTCTAGCAGCTCGCTCTGCCGACATTCGCAATTGGCTCTTCCAGCGGCCCGAAGCACACGTCATCATCGTCACCCATGGAGCCATCGCTCACTTCATCACCGAGGACTGGGATGTTGAAGACCCCATGACGACTACCGCCTACGCGAACTGCGAGGTCCGCGACTTCACCTTCTCGGCGGCGAGTAAAGACGGCGACGCACATCTGGAAGAGACTAAGGAGAGCAAAGACAAGAGGGCGATTGACCTAGGAGAGACGGATCCGCATGTCGTGGCTGAGTTGGAGGGCGCGATTCACCCTGGAACTGGGCGATTTGAAGCTGTAGAGGTTACTACTCAAGCATAAAGAATTACTAGAATAGTAACGTAAAGCACCACCGAGACGGCCATACTATCAAAGCGGCCAAAATTTTCTTAGCATTTTTAAAATCTTGACATCTTAATAACTAGTTATTATGCCCCGGAATGTCAGTGTATCCAGCTAACCCCGCCCCCACCCCAAAGCCCTTTTATTATTTTAACTTTAGATAATATTCTTATTAACTACCATTTTAGTATCCAGACTAGGACTTCAGTATCACATTGGTACCATAGGGGCTAGCGAACGCGGTAGTAATACATGCACATTAGAGCGAATGATTGACATTATAGCTGTCTGAGTGTAGCTATGCGACTAATCCTCTGGAGATTCATATCTATTCTATTTCTGAGCAGCAGTCGCAGCCTCCTTGTCGGCGGTCAGCATCTTCTGTATGGCTGGCCTGTTTATGCAGCGATCCCACCAAGCCCTCACAGCGTTGCGACTGAGAATGACGTCTCCGTACCCGCATACGAAAAGTCTTTGGATCAGCGGAATGTAGTAGATATCCGTGAGAGTGAAGTCCTTTCCAGCCATGTAATCTTTGTCTTGTAAAAGACGTTCTGCCACGTCAAAAAACATCTCGACCGACCGCAGTGCATCTGAGACCACGGCATCATTGGGAGGCAGGCCCATGATTCTTTTGACAAACTTCTCGGTTGCGATTCTACCTGCAGGCTCGGCGAAGTAGAGCATTTCCACTGACTGCGCCTGGTCGAACAGCGCCGCAGCTTCGATGTCCGAATCCGGGGGTAGAAGTGGAAAGGAGTACTTCCTCGCGAGGTGTTTGCAGATTGCGCGACTCTCGTAGAGAATGAGCCCGTCGGGGAAAGTGATGACTGGTATTTTACCCCACGGGTGACGTTTCATGTTTTCTTCGGACTGGGACGTAGCGGTGTCAGCGATATACGATTTTCTCATGCGATGATAAGCCGCGTCGTCTTCCAGGAGAAACGGTTCACCCACCTTATGTTCCCCCTTCAGCAAGTTGACAAGCACGAGTTCGTAATCCGTGAAGCCACCTTCGGCGAGAGTCAGGCGGACACGATCGGTGTTGGTCGAACCGGGAGAGCCATATAGAGTAAAGGCTGGCATTTTCGAGCTGTGCAGTAGTTTCGACACAAATCTAGGGCTGTTCGTGATGAGCTTCGACATGTGCAATTGAAGTACTCCGAGAGAGAGATTGGGCCAGTCACTCGGTATTTAAGTCCTTCGAGTCGGAACGAAGCCATGACGATCGGACAATCGGATAATCGAGTCAGTTGCAGGATTGCGGAGCTCTGTGCTGGTTTGTAGAAGGAAGGTTGAAGCTATTCCCACAGCACGTATGATTGGTAGGTTCGCTTTTGCTACCCAATCAAGCTAGCGCTGACTGGTCGTCAACAACATCCAATGTCCACACTTGACACATGTGCACACCGACTCGCCTCCCATGGTCCCGGTAGTGAATTAAGGTACATCATTTAATTCGTCTGCTCGGAGTTTTTACTTGCT